CTGATCCAGGGGTAACCTCTGCATATGATACAGATGGGGATAGAGATAGCGACGGAGATGCAGACAGACACAGACACAGGTGCAGATACAGATATTGGTATAGATATAGATACAGACATGGCTATCAGATAACACATACAGGCTTAGAGATAGGCTTGGATATACATAAAAATATTGATACAGATACAGATATAGTCAGCTACAAGTACAAATATGGATGTGGATGTAGATGTAGATACAGTTCTGGATACGCATATGGATACTCGTGTATAACATGAGATCTTTATTCTCAACTCACGACGACTACAGCCAAATGCAGCTGAGGGCTTTTGGTCTTGGCTTAAGGGTGTAGGCGCGCCACAGCACTCTCTCGAAGCCCCATCCCTGAGAACCACCTGCCGGTCTCCGTGGTGCACACGGTCTTTGGCATCTAGATTATGACGCCGCAGACTTCATGTGTATGCTCACATGAATCTGTACATATATATATATATACATATATATATATATTTGTTTGTTTAAACTCTTGCTTCTGTAACAAATGGCTTATTAGCTTGTCGATTTGCTGTTTGTGCTAACTGACCTGCCTATTCACCTACGTATATCTACTTACGACTTACATCCATTTGACATACACACATACATACATACATACATACATACATACATACATACATACATACATAATTACATACATACATACATACATACATACATACATACATACATACATAGATACAACACATACATACACAAATGTGCCAACAGATACTTTGATATCCGCCGACTGAACTGTCTATGTGTTTGGCTTACTGGATTGGTTGGCAGTGTGTAAATTGTGCTTCTGTTGGTTGTTTTTTGTGTGCTTGCTTGTTTGGTTGGTTGCTTGCTTGCTTGCTTGCTTGCTTGCTTGTTTGGTTGTTTGGTTGTTTGCTTGGTTGTTTGGTTGCTTGGTTGCTTGGTTGCTTGGTTGGTTATTTGCTTAATTAGTCCTTTGCTTGTGTGTTTGCTTGGTTGTTGTTTGGCTCTTTAGTTGCTTGGTTGCTTGGTTGCTTGGTTGTCTGCTTGTCTGCCTGTTTGCTTATTTGCGTGGGGCGCGGTTTGTTCGTTGCTTCGTTTGTTGTGCTTGTATGTTTGGTTGGTCTGTTGGTTTGTGACTTTGTTTGTTCTTTTTGGACAGGGTGGAAAGTACCGACGGTCTTGTTTTCGCATGTGTGAGGACTGTGCCGGTGATTTGCCTCTTGAAGCGTATGCTTTCGCCGAGGATTTGAAGCTTTCCAAGCTGCATCAAATTGGTTCCGTAAGCGAGGGGCAAAGTTGCGGCCGGGTGATGTGGTGTTGAACGTGCGATCGCTGTACATCATTGGGTACAGCCGCCCCGCCAAAGGGGCCTCACATCGTACAAATAAGAAAGCACTGTTGCTCAGTTGACCCCAGGGTCACACTGCAAACGGTTTTCATGCAACGCCCTGCTTGCCATTGGAGGTGCGACGTTCATGTCAACCCTGACGATTGAACAAGTTGTTTCACTAGTAGTTTCGCAGGGCCTCTGAGGTCTGAGGCTTCACCTCACGCTTGTTCAGACATGGCTCCACGCAATGCTGGGGTGCATTCACCGCAGACGTCTGCACAAAGCGTCAATGTTTGGATGTATTTGTGTGTGTGTGCATGGGCGTAGGTGTTCACGCCTGCGCGTGCGCATGGGCGTGAGCGTGCGCCTGCGTGTTGTGCGTGTGCGTGCTGTGCGTGTTGTGCGTGTTGTGCGTGTTGAGCGTGTTGTGCGTGTTGTGCGTGTGCGTGTGCGTGTGCGTGTGCGTGTGCGTGTGCGTGTGCGTGTGCATGTGCGTGTGCATGTGCGTGTGCATGCGCGTACTTGTGTGTTTGTGTGTGCGTTTGCGTGGTTGGTTGTGTGCTTTTCGTTAGTTTTGTTGCCTGTTTGCTTGTTTGCTTGTGCATTTGTCTGCGTGTGGTTTCGGGTTTGTGCCTGGTTGGTTGGCTGGTTCGTTGGTTTGTTGGTTGGTTGGCTGGGGCCCGTTGGCTGGCCGGCTGGCCGGCTGTTTGGTTAGTAGACTATTTGTTGGTTGGTTTACGTGTTTGTTGGCTGGCTTATATACATGTCAACGTATTTCCCTGAAACCTTACCGTTCGTAACCCCCAGAAACTCCAAACCCTAAACCTTACACCCTCAACTCCAAGCCCTACACACTGTATAAACCCTAAACCCTAAACCCTAAACCCCTACAAAACTGCATAAACACCCGAAACGTCTACGGCCTCACCTTAAGAACCCAAAACCCACTTTTTTGTAGGTTCTTATTATTAAACCCTAATATGGGATGTATGGGGACCCTACAAAAAAGTAGGTTTTGGGTTCTTAAGGTACAGTAGAGAGGCGTCCCTTCCAAAGGCCTCGGCATCCCTTGGCCCAAAGGACCCGTAGGCAGCTCCTTCTCTGGAAGTTGGGCTTTAGGGTTTAGGGTTTAGGGTTTAGGGTTCAGGGTTTAGGGTTTAGAGTGTAGGGTTTAGGGCTTAGGGTTTAGGGTTTAGGGTTTAGGGTTTAGGGTTTAGGGTTTACGGGTGTATTGGTTAGGGTTTAGGGTTTAAGGGTTTAGGGTTGGGGGTTCTAGGCTTGATGGTTTAGGCTATACCCCGAAGCTCTAAACCCTAAACCCTAAACCCTAAACCCTAAACCCTAAACCCTAAACCGGCCCTAAACCCTAAACCGGCCCTAAACCTGAAGGATGAAGGGTTCAGGTTGTAGCGGTTCACGGGCACGGGAGAAGCCCTTTTCAAAATCCTGTCTGAGGGGGGCCGAAAGGGCTGGGGAAGCCTGGCACGGCTATCTGCTCGGGTGTAGGTAGTGCTATTAAACTGCAGGTTTAGACTGTCCCTAAACCCTAAACCCTAAACCCTAAGCCTATAAGGTAATCCCAAAAGGAACTACTATGGGGCCTCTGGGTAGTAGACTGTCTTCTGAACAGTTCAGGTCGGTGACATGTGGGCTTTTCTCTGGTCCTGGTAGGGTTTTTGCTTAGGTTTTGGGTGGTAGGGTTTAGAGGTCAGGAGTCTACACAACTTGCAGATCGGAACTGGATAGGCTTCGACGAGGCCTTGGAGCCTGGATGAGTGCTTAACATTCGGTGCACACCTGAGCAAATGGTACAACTACTGTCCCTTGAACCCTACATCCGAAAGCCCAAAACCCCAAACCCTGAATCCCTAAACCCTGAATCGCCCTGAACCCCTATAACCTCACAGTAACCCTTAGCTTTCATAGGTAACGCCTCATTATAACCTTTAAAAAACCCCAGACTGGTGCACCAAGTCGCAAAATCCTGACCTATTGTCAAAGGAGCTGCTGGGTCGCACCTCGGATGCCAACCCGAAGCTTGGAAAATGACTCGCTGTGAGTCCAAAAAAGGATGGGCTCTGCGAGGGTTGTGGAAGGCTTCTGCTGTACATGCATGTAAATTTTGAGACATTGAGATTTGTTTTGTTCAGGGTTTTAGAGTTTAAGTTTAAAGGTCGGGAGCTGCAGAAAAGAAGAACTCCAAACTGCCGCACACTTCAGACTACACACCCTAAACCGCATGACATTGTCATTTGCCCCATTGCCTTTAGCGGCGATTGAG